GTCATGAAATGTATCTTCGCTGTCTGTATGGACAACATCTGAAGAAACCAGGCCATAATCCCTTCTTACTCTACCCAACACAGAACTTAAGAACTTGCAAGGTAACTGTAATGGCTGCTTAAACTGGACGTTATTAGCTCTGAAAGAGTGGGGGAGTCGTGACTTCACTGACCTTTCGCTTGGTTTGCTGTCTCTCCGTATGAGCCAGGAGAGTCTAATCAGAGAAAATTTTTGTGATGTTGGGAATTTTTAAGCCTTGCCTGGGAGAGTCCCCTTCACTTCATTCAGTGCTTGCATTCTGATGGGGTACTTGGGTGTACACTTAACTAGCGTCGCAGTGGCAAAAGGTGCAGTGTAAAGATTGTGGTTCTTGGTGATAGAATCCTGAAGTCTCAGTTTCATTTGCTTATCACAATAGAGTTCGTATGGTGTATAAACAGGAAGAGACATCTGAGGAAAACTGAGTGGGTGTGAACAGTGGTTTCCTATTTTCTGTATCTAAGATGTTCATAGCAATTTAGTTCAAGGAAGAGCTGTAACAGTACACCCAATTCTGCAGAGGGTGAGGCACAGCTCAGCTTTTGACCTCCTGTGTTCGCTACAAATCTCATAGAACTTCTCGTTTCACCCCTTGGCTAAGCCATCCAGTGGTGGCTACGGTCCAGCTCTGCCAGTTACCCCTGGAGTTCACATTGGGATGTAATGAATCAAATCTTCACATGATGGGAAATAATGTGATTCCCTTGAAGGTCAGTGGAACTACACTGAATTACACTAGAGAAAGACCTGGCACAGTATTTTTCAAACTGTGTCCTGTGCCGGTGGTACTACATGCTGTTAAAGCAGCTGTTATATCCTACCCCAGAGTCAGAAGGAAATAAAATGTGAGAATATATCCGGGTGTAAGATGTATAATTTATCTGGATGTACTTTTCGTATCAGAATAGCATGCAAAAAAAACCCCAGCCACCACAAAACCATGATCTAATATGTCGGAAGGCCATATCTGGTCTGGTCTCAGAAATCTGAAGCTAAAAGTGCAGGTTAAAAATAATACAGTATCACATGGCTGCGATAAATCAGCTCAGGGGATGGCTTATCTCGTTAGACCTTTCCACTTTCCAAAATCTGTTTTTACCCCTTTGCTCCTTCCGCTCTCTTGTCCTTGGGATCAGTTTGGATGCAAGCTGCTGCTTTGCCTTTTGAAACACACTTCTGGGGCTAGAAAGCAGCTTTGTACCTTGCTGAAGCAGAAGGTGCTAAAACTTGCTGGTACTGAGATTTCTCATGGCGTTCTCCGATATACATATGAATAGACTTTTTCCTTGCGACAAGGAATTCAGTTGTCTTGGAGTCAGGACAAGATCTTACCTCACCGAGTGCTCATTTAAAGCCAGTTAGCTTCTTAAAGATGCTTTCAAGCTTTCAACTGATGTAAAAACAAGAGAGCTTAAGGGCCCTGCTGATGCCTCCGAGGATGCTTGGAAGTCGTCTTACAGTCAGATAACACAGCTGATGGTTGTTTTTATTTAAATGTCCATAGCCTGCCTGTGCGTTGCTCCCCAACAAGAGCATAGGCGCCAATAACCAAGCACATTGCAAATCCAACAAAGGTCCATTTCAACCCATCCTCCTCTAAGTAGAGAACTACACATTGCAAAACCTTTCAAAACAAAGGAAGAGCTGCTGCAATTTTTTTTTTTTATGTTTTACCTTGCTTAAAAATGTTCACTACCAGAGTAATCTAACAGTCGCTGTCACTCTGTGAGTTGTTAGAGTTGTGGCTTGAGGGATTTAGTGACAAGTAGATGTAATTTCGCATTTGCTAATAATATTGTAGCATTTTGCCTTTGCTAAGGGAGGAGCGTTTGCTTCTGTTAAAAAATTTTCTGTTCAGGCGTGCTTTAGTCTATCAGAATGTGTGATCGGAAGGCTGCGCTTGGATGTTTTACGCTGGTCTCGGGGCACACAAAGAATTTACACTCGGCTTTCTGAAATATTGTAAAGCTTTGCTTTTTTTTTTTTTTTTTACATTTGTTTTACAAAAATTCTCTTTGCTTTCCACACAGTGGGGGAAAAGAAAGTTTTGTGGAGGAACAGCATGAGATAGATTGACTTTTCTCCCCAGAGGAGTGAGTACCTGCAATTCCAAATGGAATCGGGAGGAGCTGCAACTTCTCAGAACTTGTGAAGATCAGGTCCCGCGTGGCCAGGTTAAAGGAGGCAGGTCTTCTCCTCAGCCCTGCACTCTAACAGCATCATCGTCCATCCTTCTCTTGATTTCTTGGTGAGGGATGCTAGTGAAGCTGACTCACAGCCCCTCCACGACCATTCCTTGTTGTCATCAGTCAGATAAAGCTCGTGCCGGGTGCAAAGCATCCAGTGTTTATATTTCTATGGAAAAAGGCTGTTGACATTTGGAGTCGTCGGTTCCAACACGCAAAACTTCTTTCCAAAAACTCAGGAAATTAGGCTCGTCTTGTGTTGATTCCAGAGTGGAGTCATCTCCTCTTAATCCACTGCTACACAAAGACTTTTAGGGTAAGTTCTGCAAATCTTTGGAAGTTTAAAGAGGGCAGAACTATTTTTTTTTTTTTTTTTAAACCCTACAGGAGCAGGCTTTTGTTATTAGTTAATCAGAAATGTTCTTTGATCGGCATTTGCCATGCCCACCTGCACAACGGTTATTGTGTAGATACCAGATGCGTGACCGAGTCTCACCGAAAGGCCGGCTGTCGTAGCTGCTGTCTCAGGAACTGGGAAAGGGCAGCACCGTCGTCTGTTGAGTTGTCTCTAGAAACTGAAAGCAGCTTTGATCATCATTCATTTGTACCTTGTTCATCATCAAATAAATACAATGACTGGTCTTTGGCTTTGGATTGCCTGTAGATGTACTGTCTACAAACTGGACTTGACGGATGGATGTGCGGGTGAGGTGGGCAAGGCAAGGAAGCAGCAGGGGAAAGGGGCGTAAAAAAGCCACCTTATGCTTTGAAGGGTTCCTTGTTTTAAAGCAGGAGGCTTGTTTGCTCTTCAGAAACACCTTCCATTTCCTCTGCCATGATCATTTCCACTAGTTCTACCTTTTGTATTCCATCCTGATGGACCTTTTATAACGACATGCTAAGTCCTTTGGTTCTCGGTGGATGTTTTTGGAGTCCTTCATATGGAGAACCAGTCTGAAGTTAGAGGTCTGTCGCCTCAGGCGGTGATGGGGGAATGCGTGAGGAGCTCGAGCAGATGTTGGCTGGGACGTGTTCTCATTGCTGGTAGCTAGAAGGATTGCCATGGAAACCAATTGCAAGGATGATGTAAAAGAAAAGTTGGAAGCGCACAACTTCCTTGGAAAAGGAAGTTCCCTACAGAATATAGTCGTGTTACTGTACGTCCGTCTAGATGTGGCCTGGTCCAGAGTGGGTGGCTGCTGGAGGACTGCTTTGGGAAGTGATCGTGCCCCTGTGCTGGGCACTGGTGAGGCCGCCCCTCGAATGCTGTGCTCAGCGCTGGGCCCCTCACCCCGAGGCGGCCATGGAGGGGCTGGAGCGTGGCCAGAGCAGGGCAGCGAGGCTGGGGCAGGGGCTGGAGCCCAAGGCTGGGGAGGAGCGGCTGGGGGAGCTGGGGGGGCTCAGCCTGGAGAAGAGGAGGCTGAGGGGAGCCCTCATCGCTCTCGGCAACTGCCTGAAAGGAGGCTGGAGCCGGCGGGGGGGGTCGGTCTCTTCTCCCCAGGAACAAGCGATGGGAAAAGCCGGGGAGATGTGGTGCTTAGGGACATGGTTTAGTGGTGGCCTTGGCAGTGCTGGGTTAACGGTTGGACTCTGATCTTAAGGGTCTTTTCCAACCTTAACGATTCTGTGATTCCCTGAAGGACTTCTGCTGCCTGCCTTTGTCGGTGGTGAATCTGTTAGTGGTTGTGCCTGTAGGAGAACACAACTGAATGACTTTGAAGAGGAGGAGACTGAAGAAGGAGATCTGCCCTGTGCAAAAGCAGGTAAGCTCATCGCTTCCGCTTATCCACGAGAGCATCCTGGTTTACAATGCGCTTTTCCTGAAGCCATACCCTAATGAAGAAATGACTTCCTGGCTGGCTGTTCATTAGCCCAGATCAAACTTTAATCCAGTAAAGAAGATCTTAATATATTGCTTCCTTTATGCTGTATTTATGAGTCGGCCAGCTGGGCGGCTCTACTTCTGTAAAGCTTAAAAGTGTAACATGAAGTCATTGGACATGCTCATCGTAGGCTGGGGGAAGGAATTCAGCCGAACCGCTGTAAATGGAAAACACACGATTCTTTTGCACAAGCAAGGTTTGAAAGTCAAACTTTTTATTAATATTTTTCTCCCTACATCAGCAGATAAACTGAATTCTCCAGGCCAAATTAGACCCTGCGGGAGGGTGAATGACCTCTGCATGACAAATGAAAGCCATGTTGATTAATACACTTCTGGAAGGCACTCAAATTCCACGGTGATGAGGACAGTTGTAAGAGGTCTTGATAGGGGAGAAGGGTTGTTTTTTAATACAACCTAATTTTATTTATGTGCCCGCGTGCTGCAGCCCTGTCGCTCACTAGCTTTATCAGAAGCTCCTTCAAACTTGTCTTCATGATGCAAAAGAAAAACTCCAGCTCATTTTCCCAAAGTTGTGTTGGCTGCCTTACCCGAGTTCGATGCAGTGCATCCCATGAATCACTCCGCCGTAGGGGGCTTGCTGCCGGCCTCTGCCAAGTCTGGTTGAATCATCTGCTGAGTAGCCAGCCCTGGCCTTCCCCTGGAGAAGAGTCGGTCTCCTGGACTCCCAGACTCGCCTCTCGGATCTGGAGGACGTAGCACGCCAGCTGTGCTCCGTGCCCTCCGGAACGAGGAGTTGTGTTCCTGTGGCATTGTGTGCAGGTTGAATCATCATTTTAATGGGAAATGATGTGACATTGGGTCTAAGGAGACTTTTTTTTTCAAGGCACATGTTTTTATGAATGGTGTAGAGCTGTTTTACTCCCTTACAGCTGCCCTCGTCCTTTGCAGAAGGACCCATAACAGGTATTTGTGCTGACGAAGCAGTGGTGGAAGACGCAAAGCGTGGGAAGATCCTGCGCACGCCTCCTGTGCTTGTGCGACTCGATGTGCTGGTGGCCTCCTTCACGACTACGAAGAGCGAGCGCCTGGGAGGACAGGAGCACCCTGAAAATGGATACCGAGGGGCTCTCTCTGTCTGTAATTCCACGGCTGTGAGTGATCCCCCGCCCCAGCTTCACACGTGCTGCCCTTGGCTGACGCCAGGACGCAGGAATCCCCGATCTCGGGCTCAGCTGCCAGGCTGCGTGACCCAGCTGCAGACCACGGTCGGGTGCCACGGCTTCTGTAGGCTTTTGTCAGCAGAGATATCAAGTGATCGAGGCTGCAAGCAGGGGGAAAAACGCCTGTTCCTTTGCACAAAAAGGCCTTTTATAAGCTGCCCTGGATAACCACCAGCCGTTGCGGCCCCCAGCCCGGTGTAGGGCCGTGTACTTCTCCAGGGCCAACGGCTACGCTCAGGTTCCCTGCACCGGTGGGAAGCAGAGCCTTCTGCCTTCACCAGCCCCCGAGACCGCGCTACTTTCATTAATCCGCGCTGGTTGAGAAAGTGGAGGAATGAGGAAAAACGTCACGTAACGTAGTAGCGGTGAAGCTACGCTGGGATTGATGGGCTGCTGGGGGAAGACCGGGGCCTGTCGGCTGCCCGGGGTTTCCTCCGGCTGATGGTCCCTACTCCATCCCACCCCTGGCTCACCCCTCCGTGGCACTCCTGGCCACCAACTGCCCTTTCTTGGAAAGACGTTCACAGCACTCCGCAGCTCTGCACAGCCTCGTCCCTCCGGACCGTGCTGGTGATGCTTTCCTGATGGCTGAAAGCCCTCTCATGCCTTTGAATCTCTCCTAGTTGCGTGCCAGGCTGCTGATTTACGGCTGCTCTGCTCAACTTCCACCGAGCTGCCTGGATCCAAGAAGGGACGGCAATGCCCTCTGTTCCTCACCACACTTCCACGGGTTTATTCTTTGAAGTGGCTTTATCTTTTTTGCGGCGTTTTTCCTCTCGTGGAAGTGGTGAGACCTGCACAGCCCCTCCACGCTGAGCTTTAGCAGGAGACCGTCTTCAGGGAGCCCTTCCCAGTGCTCTGCAGGGCTTGACCCAGAAAGGGTGGAAGATGCTTAGGAGAGCTCGTGGTGAGAGGGAGGTGTTGCTAAATGGCATTAACCCACCTGAAAAAACGCTGTATCTGAGGCTAATGGGGCCTTGAAGGTGCTGCCGAGCTGGGGGAGACTCACAAACGCTGTCCAGATGTTTGCATCTGCTGGCTGCATCCGAGGGCCCTGTTAACAGGACCTCGACGCCTGTTTGAGTGCCAGGAGGGCTCTGACTGTGCTGCTGCCGGGGCTCTGCCATTTCCATTTGCCCTTTGTGGTGGGAAACCCCAGAAATGTCCCCTGTCCCTTCCTCTCCCGAAATGTCACCTTGGGCAGGCGCGCCCACAGGTCCCTGGTGCACGTCGGGTCAGGGTGTCTTGCAGCCGTCCCCATTTTTAGAGTAAAATCATTCATAAAGCTTTAATTTCTAGCATTAATCACTGTTGTTATTCGGGCTCCAGTAACTATTGATGGATCCTTGCCCTGAATTTAGGAGGAGAGGCGGGTGACCCCAGGAAAGGACCCAAAAGAAGCAGGGAGGAAGGCGAGCAGCACCCCATCCCCACGCCGCCCTCCCTGCTGGCTCCGTGCGGCGGCGAGCTGTGGCCCCGCCGCTTTGACGGCCCTGGGGCTCCTGTTTGGAAAA